AAATCATTTTCCAAAACCCAAGATGTTGGGCATACAATAAAGTTATGTAAGCCTATTAAGCTAGTAGACATAATACAGTCAACCTGTCTCAGGGTCACCCATCTGGAATGGCAGGGTGACTGCTCAACCCACTTAGATTTTAAATCTGACAAAGTACATCCAGTTCCTGATACATAACTTGTTTTATTCAAATGTTCACTCAAATTCTGTGGTCTTTCAAAGGAAGGCCATCTTTAAACGCTTCCCTAAACTAAGATAATGAAATGGATAGACTGGCAAGGCACACCTTTCAAATGAGATCCACCTATTACAATTGATAATTTTAAGTTATTCAATCTGTGACTATCATCTAATTTGTACTTACAAGACCACCCCTGAACCAAAGGTCATGAGAATTTAGGAAATGATCACCAACTAATAGTTATTGATTGTAGAACAAATTCTCCTCCTCAGAACTATAAGAAATGTATAGAGAACAGTTTAAAGAATATATGCATACTGATGTTGGGCTGTAGTTGGTGAACAGTTGAAGGAGAAGGTTCAGATCCTTCCCTTTGCACTTAACATTGGTTTAATTGTCAAAATCTTCCAGGGCTTGTTAGTCTGTAAGCTATAAAATGTACAGATGGTCAAAAATGTGCAAAAAGTGATCCACATCTGTTAAAAGATCATTTAATTCTTATTGTCCCTTTATTAAAACATACATATAATGTATCAAATACATAAGTCATCCATGCCTGGAGGAAGATATTTGCATTTTACCTGGGTAGGGTGGGAAATTTGAGCCAGAACTGTCAAGTCTTTCCAGCAGAATAAATATCTTTTATCTTTTAAGGTGTTTTTAAGGTAAAAGCTCACTCTGGCAAGCATATGGCTCAAAGGGGAGTTCTTAAAGAAAGTCACGGTCACCACTTTTGCCTTTTACAAAAATTGACTATTAAATCTGACTCTTGGGTGAGGCATTTGAACATAGTGTTGAGCCTGGGGAGGGGATTTTAAAATGATCAAATCTTCAAAAATTTTTACAATTTTGAAGATTGCCGGTTCAGTTGGATTCACTTGAAAATGCGCAAGGGGGAGTTGCCGGCGGCGTGCGGGGATGTCAAAGCTTCGTTTTGATGGATGCATTTCCTTTTACTTGTTGACTTAGTGGAGGGGCCAGAGAAGAAAATACCTTGCTTTGCATCATGGTATGCAAACCTAGCAAAGTGAGGTAAAGATACCATGACCAGCAACAGCCAAACATTTTCCCATCTAGCCTTGCCAAAACTCAGTCACAATTACCACTTTAACATATGACAGCCACTCTTCCTTTTTCTTCCTCTTCTGGAACCATGTGGACTGATATTAACAGCTCTCTTTAACCCTGATTGTGTCATCTCATATGGCCCTCAAACAGTGATTTTTTTAAACTGCTTTTTAACAAAAATGTAGAAGGGGCAACCCAGCCATATGATAAATGATATAAAATATCACCATTCAAGCTCTTTTTCACAAATACATTCCATGTTTTCATGCATCTATTCAGGTATCAATCAAAGATGATGTAAAAAAGTAGCAAGACCAAGGAAATGGCACACAAGTTGCAGCCGAGTGCCTCATTGTTATTCTTACTACATGTTTATATTTGTGTGAACCCTGTTTCTTTGCATGATGATCCACAGGGGTTCCAAGCTCTCTATAGTAAAGCAAGTAAAGCAAATAAACACTAACCTTAAGACAGTACTTTTGCTTGTGTTATTTTAGTTCTCTTTTGTTGGCTTTGAGGCCATTTCATCAACTTCAAGCTGAGTTCTCCTCCCACTACTGCCTGTACTGGGATGAGAGCACAGCTAAAACTTGATGAAATGGCCTGAAATCGCTACCAGAGGACAAAAACAACACAAGCAAAACTCCTTCTGTCTGAAGGTTAGAGTTCATCACTGTATCATTTATGAAGTTACAGAGAGGACCCTAAATTCCCACACAAAACATAATATTATTATATCCACTCATAGAGAGCTTGGACTTCCTAAAAAGTGAGCGTATAGCCACGGTCCACTGTATATCTCGTGAGCTTAATCTCAGAGACTCAACCAAAATAGAATAAATTGCAGATAATAATTAGCGGAAATGAAAAAGAGTAAAACTTTTCTTTATCACTTAATCCATTGTAATCTCTTGACCTCCGGGGTCAATGTTATCACTATTTACAAGAATTGCACTCACCATCACTTCCGTGAATGTATCAAATTGCCCGTAGCAAGTGAGAGTCACATAGAGAAAATGAGGATACTAAACTAACATGGCGAGACAGAGATGAATGACGAAAAGCTACGTCAGAAAGTATGCGGTCAACAACGCGGGCTCAAGTGTCCTGGGTCTAAAATTTAGCGAAATTAGCGGAAAATAATAAGGGCTGACTTTAAAAACCGAGGAACTCTGTTCTCGTGGAAGGCACTTTCCTATTTCCAGAGGTTTTAAGGAGAAAATTATTTATTTTTTAATTTTTAGGGGGTGTACCAGGTTTTTAGAGGTTGTTCTGTAAAAGAAAAGCAGCAAGGAAAACGATAGCCTGCAGTACAGGCGTATTTTGGGCGCACGAGTGCAGATTTTCGTATTAGGCCGCCATCTTAGATTTGGTAACTGTGGAGGATTGGGGCGAGGAAATATTTTCCGAGAGAGTAAATAAATCCTCCGTATAGTCCCTCTCCCCCGTTGCCCATTTTTCCAATTAACACCTACTCCCTCGGCAAATATTTCCTCGCCCCAATCCTCCACAGTTACCAAATCTAAGATGGCGGCCTAATACGAAAATGTGCACACGTGCGCCCAAAATACGCCGGGACTGCAGGCTAGAAAAACGATGCCTCGAAGCAACAGAATAGGAAATCAACCATGCGAACGACTCAAAGTCCGTGTTTCCGCGGCAAAACCTAACGCATGCGTATACGTTATTCAGCTCTGTCACATGGCGAAACGCTGCTTTAATTGACCTCTGCGATACTAGTGCAGCACTCTACCAATTGAGCTAGCAAGCCAACTGGGAGCAGGCCGTTAAGTTGATTCGTAATAAACCCGTGATGATAAATCAGATACGATGAGTATGTGAAATTCATATATTTTGAACTGCGGTATTAGATACGTGTGATGCACGATCCTCGCTGTAGAAAGCGCTATTTATGCAATAGCGAAAATCAGACCTGAAAAAAATCAGGCCCGTACTGCGAGGATCGTGCATCATACGTATCTAATACCGCAGTTCAAAATATATGAATTTCATATATTCATTGTATCTGATTTATCATCACGGATTTATTACGAATCAACTTAACGGCCTGCTCCCAGTTGGCTTGTTAGCTCAACTGCTTTAATTAGTACCTAGTCTTTTCCCACACTGTGCGCGCGCGTGTTAGTCAAGAGGACGAAAGTTTCGCTAAAGTATAATCGTTTTATCCAACAGACTCCGCTAACAAAACGCTATGCATTGGAACCTTTCCTCGACTTTATTCAGCTAGATATATCAGAAATGACTCTGACTACGATAAACTGCGATGAAATTGTATTTCACTCCAGTAAGCAATTATGATGTAGTTTTGTCTCGTCACAGATGATGTCAAGACCTAATGGTGACGTCGTGAGTATCGAGCGATAGTAGCAGACGATGCAGGAAACTAAATAATGACTGTTAATCTACAGAGGTTGGGAGATATTTTAGAAAATCCCTATGCTGCGTTTGGGGTTTGTGTAGCAGTGAGTGCTATAGCCTACTTTACCCATAGCAGCCAACATCCAAACCATCGAAGGAAAAAACGGCGCATGAGCAGCTTTCCGGACCTTACAGACAACCGATCTATCGTGGTAAAGTATCTTACACCAGACGTATTCTCCAAGCTAAAAGACAGGAGAACGACCAAAAAATATGATTTAGAGCATCTGATCCAGTCGGGTCTTTTTTCAATTGACCCCATCTCATTGGCCAAAAACCCAGCAGGGCTTCTAGCAGGAGATGAAGAATGTTACGACGTGTTTAGTGAGCTCATTGACCCTGTCATCAGAGAGCTACATGAAGTTGATCAGAATTTCAGGTCAGAAGTTAACCTGGATTGGGAGCAAATCAGAGGCGGACAGCTCTCTGAACCAAACGTGTTAAGCTGCAGGTTGAGTGGCAGCAGAAATATAGAAGGATACCGAATGGTTCCCGCCAGCCGAACAACAGAACTCTCAGAAGTCAGTCAGCAGATAATGACAACATTGGAATCTGTTGAGGGTGAGAGGCTAGGTAGAGCGATTTTTAAGGTGGCTGAACACAGTTTTCGCGCGCGCTTTTTGCTGATGCAACTCAGCGCGCGCACAATGATTGCAAAAAACAAACATGCCGTCAACAGAGCGGTCATTTTATGTACTCAACTCGTACCCGCACTATCTGTGCTATTTTTCTCTATAGTTGGCGCAGTGTATAGAGAGCTTTAATCCTTTTTTTACAAAGATGTGTTAGAAAAGTTAACGATGCAAAGAACCTAGCAATTCTCAGCTTTTTCGTCGTTACTGAAAGYAACCGGTTAAATGCGCGCATGCGTAATAAGTCAAAAAATTGCGATTGAATGGAAATTTTTTTCTCGGAAATATGCAAATTTCTTGAGAACCACTCATTAGATTTTCACTAAATTTGGCACAAAAATACTTTAGGACATAAGTAACGGATTATCGAAAAAAATTGATTTTAAACAAAGGAAATTCTAGAAAATCGAGTGAGCCTTCAACAAGGGATAGTCAAAGATCTCTGTTAAATTGTTAGCAAAATGGTGTTAACTTGTGAGTATCGTTACATGCTCGCTGCGTGCAAATTCTAAAGAAAATCTATTGACTAGATTTTATACAAAGAAACAAAACTGATTTTAATTGTCTATTTATATCTAGTCATGTCGCCATGGCAACGGCACATACGTCAGCCTTACTATCGAAAAAACGAAGTTTGTGTTGTTAACTTGCTTGCTGCCAATTTTGGATACTGAGAGATCAAGGGTTTTAGAGAAAATGGGGAAAGAAAGAAAGGTATCAAAAGCTGTGTTCAGCCACCTTGACTGAGTGGAAGGAGCTGTGGCTATGCTCGCTTTGTGATTGGTCCAGAAAACTCATCCCACCCGCTCAACCAATAAGACGCAAAGTTAACCAAATTATCGCGACTCGCGTTTTCCCGCGCTTCGGACAGATTGCTTGTATTCACTTTGTGTTCTTACTGGCTCCTTTTTTATCTCCTATGTTTTGATTAGCTGAGGTGATAACTTTAATTAGAGTTTTACTGCACTCGATCAAAAACTGCTCAGAGAGAAATAAGGGGAGTTTTAGTTGGCGTCAATTTTTGTCTCACTCATTTTTCTCCGCTAAAATTTCATTAAGCAAAGACAGACGTTTGCAATCTGTGTTAATCTCCTCTACCCGTAACTGTCTTTGTTACCCTTTCTTTGTTTGTTTGTTGTTTTTTGGGGTTTTTTTTTTTTTTTTTTTTTTTTTCAATTTTGTTATTTTCTTGACTAACCAAAATCCCAACGTTTGGTTTCGCTCGCTCTGAAGGAAATTTTGCTAGTCAGTATTTCTTAGACATTTCATATATGCTGTCTTACTTTGTCTTTCCAGAAAACATCGAGCACTCTTTTCCCTCGGTGTCACGGCAAAACAGTAATTCTGTTTTGGAAGATTATGGATTAAGCCTTGCTTCCCTGCCGCCTCAGCTGTCACGTTATTGGCCTCACGGAAGGTTTGTGTGGTCAACTGAGGACAGACAATGTCGGATATTCTTAAATTCCGAGGATCACTTGAAGGTTGTTATAACTGAGGCTGGTGGTGATATACAAAGGGCATTCAGGCATTACAGCGAAATACTGTCAAGTATAGAGGAAGGTTTAAAACGAAATGGAAAGAGGTTGATGTGGAGCTCAAAATACGGGTATTTGACAAGCTCGCCACATAACATCGGCACGGGACTTGAGGTACAAGTAGAGGTTCGGCTGTCAATACTTTGCAAGGTGGGTCAGTTTACAATCTACAAACTCATCATCATAAGGTGGGAGAGCACTGAACGGTATTCGGAAGGAAGAGTTAGACGACATAAGTCTTGGAATAGCTTGTGCCTCACTGCTTCACAATTTTCCGTCTTTTAGTCGGTCTAATTAAACAGACTCTTTCAAATATTGAGTTTTGGTTGCTAAATGCTAAAGAAAAGGTATCAGTTTAAAATCATAGGTCATCCCAATCCCGTTTTCATCATTTCGGTTGAGGTTTGTAGTAGTCTTGGCATCAAGAGGATGTTGAAGGATGTGGTAGTAGCTAGTTGTTCATGCTATTTTTATTGGAGTTGATCATTTTGTGGTAGCAAGTAACGCACTTAAATTGATAGTAGTAATTTCTAAATTTTTCAAGGATCAAAGATTTGAGCGCATAATGCACGTACTTCCAGTGAAACTAGACGAGGCAGGTAAGCGAGAAATTCTTACGAGAAACTGAACCACCCAACTTTATCTGGCTAATCAGTAAGCTCAGTTGTTTGGAGTACTGGTCAGTAAATGTCTACCATTTATGGGGCGGCTGGAAAAAACTCCAGCGGGGAGCAAGCCCTGCTTCACTCAGTCACAGCGTGTAACTTCAAAAGCAATAAAACAAGTGCAATTGATAGGTTTAATAATTTTATTTCCAATTTTGTATCAGAACTGAACTGAGCAATGTTGTAGGGGAAAAAGTTGGTACTTAGACGATCCCAATTATTGTATACACCCAGATGTGCTAGAAATTTCTGCTAGCGCTCTTATTTCGTAATAGTGGTTAGTTGAGATGAAAAAAAAAGGGATCATATGCGTTCAGCTTTGTCCATTTTGAAATTGATAAATTCGAATGTACAAAAAGCACTGAATTCTTGAGAGTTTCTGCTTCTTCCAACCCTTTTCTCTGGTGTGTCTTGTGATTTTCACGGACTTAATATCTGGTAGACACAGTTCCCCAAGGGAATAACTTAGTTCTTTCATAGAAGGTGTCCGCTGTACAAATAAAGCACTCCATCTAACCTGGCGTTGTGACCTATTTTCAGTTCATCCACAAGCTCAAGACGTGTTCTACATCAGAAACAAACACAAAATGCAACTGACGGAGGTAATATTTAATGACAGAATCATGAACAGTCAGCAAAGGTTCCGGTCCAGGAGCCCATTTCTCGAAAGTCTCGGTAACTCAACGGGCCCGAAGCCATGTTTTACAATCAAAATTTAAAGGATAGGAAAGTAGGTTCTGCGACCTAAACCAGTCCTTTTTGTTTCTTTAGCTGATAGTTTTATTGTATCATTTTCAAAACTTTTGAAATCCCCATCTTGAATGAAAARAGAACAGTTTTACGGGCCCGTTAAGTTACCGTGACATTGGAGAAACGGGCCCCAGGCCATGGGATATGTCGATGCCACTTTCAAATCAAATAGATAAATATTCCTCTTTGAATTGAAGTTAAATCTACTTTTGCAGGTTGATATTCTTCAACAAGTTATCAACAGTGTGACTTTACTGGTTGAACTTGACAAGAGAATTCATCGGAGAGAGAGCATCCTGGATCTATTGCCGTAAGATGTTATTTCTACCGACACAGAGAATATCTACTGTAATACTCAGATATGTAACTGACGTAGTAAGTTGACCTACGTAAGTAATAGAGAGAAGAGAGTATCTTTGACGTAGTTGGTAGTCTTTCTAACTAGACATTAATACAGCAAAGAGTTTGAACCCAGGAGTAACAGTTATTTGTCTAGTATGATAAGGAATGTCGCTAATATCGACTGACGTCTTGAGAATCTCTATTTTCGTCTTGCCAGAGGTTATTAGTTTAATGCTAGGCCCACAGGCGCCCAAAATTTTCCCTGAAGAGGATCATTCGTATATTCAGCATTGTTTGTTCATGGTTAAAGCTGTTTTCGACGATTACTTTATCAGCCAGACAATAATGCTAGATGTTGTTTTGGATCACGTGAATAAATGAAAACAAATATATTGAGAGAAAACCGGAGATAACCTTTTGGAACTAGAAAAAAAAACAAACCCAGGCTCAACACTAACAACAACAAACCTGAAATAATAATTATAATGATATAATCTGTAGACAACATGTTTAGCTGTAGAACAATTTGTACAAGCCTATGAAGAGGATGCTATCATGGCCTTCGTTATCTCTCGTGAAGTTCCTCTCTACTAGAATGAATATTTTTTTCTTACAAGGAATCAAAACAGGATAGATTTCTAGGGGGTGAGGTAGGGGGGGCATTTAACGGGTTTTGTTTTGTATTCGTTAGTTTACTGCTCAAACTTTTAAAAATTGTTTTGTCACTTAGGGAGGCTTATTGATCCGCGGCAGTCTCAGTGAAAAACAGCACCAGATAAAAGCACTCAAGGTTTAATGTTGCCAATGTGGCAAAATAGATACGACAAATTTTCACAATGAATACCGTGAGTGTGACTGAAATGAACCGTGTATTAAAACGTGATTTCCTAGGGTAATATTCCAGTTGGAGCTGAAATCTCCCGCTTCGTCGTCCAAGTGAGTTTAATTTCCCGTCAAAACCACAAAAAATTGTATTTCTTTGCCCACTCTATTTGGCCACTGGGAAGTTGCCTCAACCGATCCTTCTTTAGGTTTGAGAGTGAGTTTAAACTTTATCAGGTAGAGTTTGCAATGTTCTGGCGCCTCAAGATGCCATTTGCGAATCAAAGACCTCATCTATGCCCACCAGATCTCAGTGGTAAGATGAACTGTCGATCTAACTATAAAGAGAACTGACTTCTTCACAAAGAGAGTTCTACTTCAGGAGACGTGGACAGAATAAACTAGATAAGAACGTGCATGATCAAATATTTTCCCTGAATAGTCCAGGTGACTGTGAACAAAAGTTCTTGCAAATTAACCTTGTTTCTGAAGGTTTTTTGAATGATACGAAGACAACATCGTGACGATGTTACGGAATGATACGGACAAATGGTTGCATCACCCAGCTAAAGGCAAATAGGAAGTGGACGTAAAAATTTTAAGAACTAAACTATGTTCTGATTAAGCTATCACTTCTATCTTCGTACTCGCCTGAGCCGTGGGAAATTTGATGGGATTTCGAAGTAAAAAATAAACAACTTTTCAATGACGGGTCATTTTAGATTATGGGCCACCCAACCCTCGAACGACATCATCAATTGAAGAATCGAAAGGGACTCTTAAATTTAAAAAAAAAAGCAAAATGAAAAATCGCGGTTCCTGAAACATAGACAGTCTCTTTTAGAACACTTAGAATGAGTTTGCACAAACATCCATCGAGAGAGACTGTGCAATAATTACATATAGGTAACACTTACACAATGTATGTTCTTTCAAATTATAAACGGCCCGATTATCAAATGTCGCCATTCCGGACGTCAACAGTATCGAAATAAATCAGACTAGAGAAGGAAGTTTCTAATTTTAAACAGTCTTTCTTTGCTTTGAAGTATGCTTGTTTGCTGGCGGATTTGGAGCTTGTTTCGCTTATCGAGCGATTTTCATTTCTTTCCTTAAAGTGGAATACTGGTGACAACATCATTTCTGCTAGGATAAAAATACACTTATTTTTGCAAATGTCGGTTAGAAAAACGACGAATTTTCTCAACTATATTTTAAACAGATGGGAACATAGTGTCAAAAGGCAGTGAAAACGGCCACCGTGGTTTTGTTAAACTATCTGACATTTCGAGCAAGAAAAGAGAAGAAAGTAAGAAAGATGATAAATTATGCTATGATTATGAAGGCCTGAGGTTCCCCTGAGGTTCCCCTAAGGTTCCCCCGAGGTTCTCAAAGTTGAACAACAGTTGATCATGAAGAAATTGCAGAGAAGAAGCCCACCTTTTTCATGCTGCCTTTCGGTGCAATTTTTTCTTCAGTCTGTAAATTACTTGTTAGAATTGTTTCATAATTTTTTATCATCCACACTGAGATTACAATTCGATTTAATCCCTCTTTTTTGTAAAGCAATAAAGTACAAAATAAAGTGAAATATATCAATACAACATCGTATAAGGCTTTAGACATTGGCTTCTGTTTCTGACCGACTCTTGTCTGATTTTGAACTTCACCCACTGTCGGGTCTACCATTGGATTCGATCGCAGACAAACCCTTCATTTTCATAGCAAATAGAAAAATTCTATAAAGTGCTAAGCCGTTTAATTGTAATACATACATAAAATAGGACCTTAACTTTTTACAGCTATGTCTACTGGTTTTACCGGTTTTTGGTGTGCCCCTGTGTGTGTCGACACTCGAAATGGCGGTCTCGTTACAGCACAGGTATATTGGAAATCAAGTAAACTTTTCAAACATCCGGTGATTTATTTACGCCTACGGTAACTCTTATGATAACTGACTTCTTTTTGTCTTCATCTGATCGCACTTCGATTGTTTCCAATTGCCTGCTTGGTCAATTCCTTGCGATGTCAGCAATTTTTTCCCATCTTTCATATAAACGAAGCAACACCTCTGTAACTGAATTCAACATGGTCAAGTAAGTCCGGTAAGTTTTCAACGTAAACCGTTTCAATGATGGGATCATGTATTCGCCGATCGCCTCATATGTAACAAGGAGTACTTGTCCCTGGGTGGCAGGGACAAGTCCGAAGTCGTGGGTCAATTCAGTTCTCGTGAGATTTCCAACAACTTCTTAGTGAAAAATCAAAGATTGAGTAAATTCAGCATTATTAAGAATCTGCTCGAACAAGGAAGAAACGTCCCTATTTCTTCTCTAACAAATCAACGAGGGTCTATTACCCAAAGCACTTCCTACAGCTCCAAACGGCTGAGCTCCTGGTACTACACAGCAATAAATGAACACAATTAAAATACGGTGACCTAAGATAAGAGAAGGTAGTTAATAATAAAAAAAAGAGTTCTGTTTGCGAGTCTGACTTTTTCTCCTATTCTTGCCCTTGTAGAACAAGCGCTAAAAGAATACATAGTTTAGCAGTCCAGGCTTTAAGGCTATGGGGTTTGAAATTTTCTTACAATGTATCTTTCTAATTTCAATTTTTTTCTGCCGTTCTCTCTCCCTTGGTACCTCATTTTGTATTTACGTGGAGAGTGCATAATATCTACCAATCATGTCAAATGACTCTAACCTTTACATAAGAAACTGACGTGGACACTTTCGCGTGCTTTTGTTGTTTGTTTTACGGAGCTGTTTTTTAGTATTTATTAGCTTTTTTTCATGAAAATTGTTACCCCTTTGTTTGGAAATTATAATAATTCTCGGAGTTTTTATTTTAGCCAAATGTTGTGTTTAATCTCACTAGTTCAAAATATATTCTTCTACGGAGTTTGGACTTTGGCCTATTTTTACAATGAAGGTTTGACCTTCAAACTGAACCTTGTTCTCAGTGTTTTCGGTCCTTGTGGTCAGCGTCAGACATGGAAAGAAGTCATTGGTGACGTTTCAATCTGAAAAAAGGCTCGTCAACTGAATGAATATTTGCTCGACGAATTTTTAATCGAGATTCTTATCGCAACCGCGTGGCTAGAAGGTTCGAAGGATTCGACCTGACGATGATTCAACCGTTTGAATTCGGAACAAATTGAGCGCCCTGAAACTTTGAAGTTCTTCATGGTTTGTCTAAACTAAGAAATGTTTAAAACAGCCTCCCACCAAAATCTCTTCTTCAAATCTCGAAGTTAATATATTCATATTTTTGTTCAAATCGAACTTGCCAAGGTCACGGTACAATCTCCACTTTTTGTAAGCTGTAATTCATATTATTCAATTAAAAGGAGGTAAAAAGAAAATAGCGAGGGCTGTGGAAAAAAATTGAAGGAAGCCGTATTTAAAACAGCTGAGAGCTACAATCATAGAGTTGAATACTTGATGAAAAAAAGGAAAAAAAAATTAAAAGCGTTTACTTACTTAAATTTGTGCAGAGATATTTTTAGAAGTGAAAGACATTAGAATACGGTTTAATTGCCATAAAACAAGAATTCATGCATCTTTGACGACCGCATGTCTAAGTGGTTCACTTGTTGTATCTTGAATTTTATTTGAGGCCTTTCCCATGGGGTCAAACGAAAAGTTTTACCACCATGTCATTGTTCGGTTTGAAACAAAGTTAGTCTTTTTAAATTTTGTCCAGGGAAAAGCAATTTCCTCCCAAAACTAGCCTTAATGTTATTTGCATATTTTCACGTCTCGTAGCTCATTTAATAGGAGAGCTGGTTAACGAAACTTGCCACAACAAGTCTGGACAACCTCTTGGATCGACACAGTTAATTGAAGCCAAACCGGAAAACTGAGACGACAAGTATTCCCGGCCGTTAACTAAGATTATCGCTAAATTAGTTCGAGTATTTTCGAGCAAAAATCAAGTAAACATTGAAATATGTTACGTGTAGTCTAGTAGTATTTATTAGTTTCTACATCACCTGGCGTTCGAAAAAATAAACATTTCACACAAGGTGCGAGCAAAAATGGTTCTTTTTAATCAAGAAATTTCTCGTTCTTAGAAAATAATCTTCAGAACGGTAATTTTTCCATGAGAAGGTCATCTATGAGGGCTAAAATCAATGAAAACCGAGTCATTATTGGTGCAAATGTGTTTACATATCATTAAGTACGCGACAAGATACGGGCGAGATAGCCGTATTTTCAAAACACGTTTGACAAGTGAAGTACGGTTGACTGGTTCTGTTCTAAAAAAAGATCACTTTTGCTAGCTGTTTTTAATTTTATGTGTAGCCTAACCGCATAGTTAATATTTATAAGAATCTCTTGATTTGAGATAAGACCGCAAGCAAAGATTTTGCGGCGAGAGTGGGACCTCTCTGCCTTTTTCACGAAGGCTGGAGTTATTTTCAACTTGCGGTTTTCGAAAACAGTGTTCACCTTTGTAGTTATTACAAGAGGAACAAGGGGTAGATTTTGAACTTGAAAGATTTACACGAGATTTCAAATGACAATCCAATCAGATCGGCCGGATTTTAAAGCAGTCGCAGATGTTTTAAGATCAAGGTTTTACTGATTCTGGTCACACCACAGATCAACTGAATTTACCATGGTGGAAAGCATTTTTGGAGGGAAAACTTCCTACGCACTAGATTGCCACGAAAGGAATGTTTTTCAGCCGCGACTAGCGGAAAGACGGCTTTCCATACAATCGACACATTTGAACACCATCTCCGAAACTGGCGACGATTGTCCGCCGTCCAACTACGCGGCTAGCATTGAAGAAAACACAGCAAATGACGCGCCAACCTTTTACCGTCGACCTAGGACAATGTCCTTACCAGCGATCTACAGGGACGGCTCGTATTTAAGAATTAAGAGCTGCTCGAATACATTGAGCCCTTGTAAGCGCAGATATTCGGAGCCAAGTGGTATCGCGACGCAACATATTATTCATCGCTTATCACTGCGTTCGAGTGACAGCAGTGAAAGTGAAAATGGCTTTTGCAAAAGACCTTCGATTAACAGCTTGGAGGCAAGGTGTTTAGTCCACGAGAGCAGTCTTGCGGATGTAATAGCGCTTCGACGTCACTCTGATCCGATGTGTTACACGAGAGAAAACGTGGATCGATTAGGAGTTTCAAGAGAACGACGGGGTAAGTCGACAGGTAAGGACTCAATCACATGCCTCAAAGTGAAAAACTTATCAGACAGTGTCAAATCCAAAACGAGAATTGATAATGAACAGACTGGCCAACATGTGAGACGGCGAAAGTCTTCGCTCGTCCCTGTACCTTTACACTCGGCGCAACAAAAGACAAAAGAGGCTCAATGTAAGACATCAAACGGCCGTCCTTTATCCTTCCCTCCCAGCAAAAGAAGCTACAATAGACAAAGTAGTCTACCAGAGTTAAAAGCAACCGCATATTTAAACAAACAGCGTAAAGCTGCAAAGGGAAGCGACAGTACTGCTGCCAACGCCGATGAATATCTTGTAAACGAAGAACTATTAGAACTGGACTCTGACGAATCAAAGGATGACAAATATACCGCAAATGCAGACATCTTGGTCCAATGGATGAAATTTTTCGGCTGATCGTTTGAAATGCTCTACACGCAGGGCCGTGAAACAAAACTATTATTAAAACTAACAGATGACAATAAATGGTTTTTTACTTTCTCTTTTTTAACCGTTCATTCAGATCAAAATCCACTGAAGACGATGTATTGTTTGTTTTCAAATAATAATTAGAACTGAGAAAAGTATTTCCGACCTACTCATTGTTTTGTTTGCCTAAGAAATTTGAACGTTATCTGAGTGGCCTTTTGGAAGCAAGAGATCGGAAGTTGTCTTAATTATGCTTTGGTGCTAACGACCGAAGGACAAGAAGAAGGAGAAGAACCGAATTGTTAAATTATTACTAATCGCTGATGCAAATTCAAGAGAGCAATTTTACGACGCCCGGCAGAAATCTTTCTTTGTTTAACAAGAACTGAAAGAGCTCAGAAGAATTGCTTCCTTACCGCTTTCTTATCGCATTATAAACCACAAACAACTTCAAAACGTTCACCAAATACGCTGACTCATCAACCTCCAAACTCCATCATTTTCAATCTTTATACCAAGCTATGGACGCAAATTTCAAAGGAGTTTTAACATCATGAATTCAGTAGAGACAAATGAATGGAAAGGGTCGAAAGCATTTACTGATACGCCGTATCACTTAAGTTTTCAGAAACGCGAAGCTGCGAAGACACCTTCAAATGCTGCTATAAATCATGCAAATTTGACCGAAAAAGGTTAAAGGCAGAATATTTATAACACCTTACGAGAATATCTTGAAGAGAAACAGCTGCCAGAAAAAAAAAATTAAATACAGGAAAATTTACATTCTAGAAGAAAATAAAGTTATCACAAACATAAAGGGCACATTTCGATATTATTTTCATTTTCTATGTCGGAAACCGTGTTACGAGTTTCTTTTAAGATGCTTTTAAAACATTATTCCACAGTTTGAATTAAATAGGATCTTTATCGCTGCTGCCACTGACGTTTTTTGCATACAAAAAGATGACTTTCAATTATTAAGTTTTAGATAACCATCGATTTGGGGCAAATTAGCGATTGGCTGTCAAAACGAAATTATGTTTATAGTTACTATTTGGCACGCAGTGCTAAAAAGCTGTAAAACCTTCCTTTCCCTGTTGGAAATCGCACGATCAAAACAAAGTAATGAAAGCCCCAGCAGGCTTTATTCAATGTTCAACTCGTTATTAGTAAAAATAAAAATTTGCCTTTGTAACAAGACAGAGACATTCGCGCCTTTATATAGTTTCTTTTATTAGTGTTTTATGATTTCTCGGGTCAAAGCAGTTTCGCCCTCATTGTGAAGATCTCTTCTTAGTGAACAAAAGTTAATTTTATGGTTTTGTTCCCAGTTAATCATTCGCAACACTAGTTGAAAGGCTAAATGTAAAATTTCACAGCACGACAACAAGAGCAGAAAGAACACTTCAATCACACTTTCCACAATACTAGCAGGTTATTCTGACATGGGTTATCTACGCTCACATTTGGAAATGAATGAATCTATATCAGACCTCCACAACAAACAATAAAAAAAACNTTTTCACATGTTATCTTCCCAAAAACACTGCAATACCTGACTATTTCGCCTCAGAACAAGAGACGTGTCTTCAGCAGAAAAGGAATGGACTCGACACTCTTTGTTTTCCCTGTTTCTTCTCTTTCTTTCGCAAATGAACAAAGAAAACAACAGCAACAACAAAAACAAAATCTCTAACAAAAAGAAATTTAACTTTCGTCTTGTCAAGAATGAGCCCTCGTTGACCTTAGCAATGAAATTTCTCTGTTATTTTGTATGATGAATTTGCTTTCTTCGTCCAGTCCACTGCGTAAGTGTTTTCACAACTGGCAATTGTAAATAAGCAAAGTTTGTCACCGTTTCTTACCTTGGGCGGAAAGTTCACTAGATAATGATTGTAATATTAATAGTCCCACTCAAGTTTTGGGTTTCAACCAAATCTTTCATAACCGGAAGTAAAAAATTGACATAAGGCCGCAATGCACGCTAGTTAGTATTAGGAAGTTAGTTGCTTTTCCGAGAAAACAACCCTATATCGATCGTGGCTCTAAACACCTGTTGTATTTTGCGTCAGGGTAGGTAAAGCGATTTTCAAATGGCCCAAACTAACCTTCCAGCACCGCTCCAAGTAGGTGAGAAAAGAGTGATTATCCAGAAGCGACTTGGTAACGGCGCTTTTGGTGTTGTCTACGAAGTGAAAGAGGAAGGAACGTCAAACGTATACGCTATGAAAGATATCCTATGTTTGAATAGTTCGGACATTTAAAATACCATCCGCGAGGCTGAAACACTAAGCAGAATCTCTCATGAAAATGTGATTGCTATCGTGAGTGTAGGCGACTTTCACGATAGACAAGCTTTGCACATGTTGCTTTTGACCGAGTATTGCCCCGGCGGAAGCTTGAATGATCGTCTTGCTCGACCAAGCAGCGACCAACAAAATCTGAAGTGGATGATCCAAACCACCAAAGCTGTTGCCTACCTTCATTCGTGCAACGTAGTTCACCGCGATCTGAAGGCAGATAATGTGCTGTTAACCGCATCAGAAGATGTCAAATTGGGCGACTTTGGTCTTGCCCGTGAGTACATCGCACTTAAACGAGCTGGCGTGCGACAGGATGATGGCTCGTGGCTGTCTACTTACACGGAGTACTACATGGAATCAGGAATAGGTCCAATCCACTGGGTAGCTCCAGAATTTTTCCGCCACCATTACACTGAGAAGGCCGACGTTTTCTCTCTCGGAACGCTCCTCTTTGCAATACTCGAGAGGGATTTCATCACGATCGATGGGAAAGCCATGTACGGAGCCTTTGTACATGTTCCTGGTATAGGAAAGATTGGCGTCGGCTTTGCGATGGAGAATGTTGATATAAATATACGTATTCAATTTTCAAGTCGCGCTCAAGGATCCACCGCTCTACAAAGTATCGTTCTTGGGGTGCTAAAATACAACAAAAATGATAGGCCGAGCGCTCAAGACATCTGTAACGATCTGAGGGTAATTAAAGAGAGTATAAGACTTGTTGAGTCTCCGCCTGAAGCTGGCTCGTGCTGCTAGGCCTGTGAGTGAGGCCGGACAGGTACGGATGGCATTCATGTACCTTGGAAATGAACGCGAACATATGAGAAACGTACGCCGAGTAGAACTTAAAAACCATACATATAAAACTTGTCCTTTGATGTAAAGCGTTGTCACATGTTTGTTACGTGCAATTCTAACGAGCGGAAATTAAAGTACAAGGCATGCAAATCATATGATTTACAGCAAGTACTAGTTGTAAGTTTCTAAGGGACACGTGAGCGTCTTATCGACACCGCAACATTACACTCCTTAATGGTCCTTTCCTTTTCATCAACATCTACTACTCTTCAGAACTAGAAGATGAAAATGTAAAGAGGACCTTAATCTAAAACAACTGACAGAATATGAGGATGGAGATCGCGGACGTAACCCTTGAAGTTTCACTACTGTGCGCCTTGAACTACACGAGAATTCTCTATAGAAACCCCGCTCGTGTCGTGTTCTTAAGTTTAAATTAGGTTCTATAGTTGAGCAATAAATGTTAGTGAAATGACTGATTTTTTTTCTCTCTTTCATAATTGAGATAGTCACGAAATTGACGTTCCATACAAAAGGGATGAGATTACAAAATCACCTACGAGTCATTTCTGAGAAATGTCACACTTCAATTCGTTTCTAAAGATTATAT